ATCCAATGTTGGAAATTCTTGTCTAAAGAAGAATTCATGCACTTTCCATCGAAGTCCTTCTTTAAAATGATATTCTATTCGAAATTTTGGTTTCCCTGGAGCATTACGTGGCATTTGAAAACTACCACATTTCTCTTCTTTAATAACTCTGTAAATCGTAGATTTCCCAACACCAAGTGTACTGCTAACTAACTCAACGGTCTCATCAACACTTTCACATAAACGTTTGTCTGTAAATGATTTAAAACAATTAAATATTAATGTTTTTTCATTAACTGTTAAAGGACCAATTTTTCGGCGTTTACACGGCACTTCCAAATTTTCCATAACACTAGTATACACAATAAACTGCACCTTGCAACTGAAGTACCTACTTTTAGTGAACTGTTAAGAATTTTGAATACGCCACTTGGACCTTCCTACAAAATGGAAAAACCCACTATCACATTTTCTGTGGAATAAGTTTAGAAGGTAATTACCTAGTCAATTACTGTCGTAGATTCCTGGAATTAAAGAATTAAATGTTTGATTGTTGAAACCCTTACTTCGTGGAATGCACTCATTTCAGATAAAATAAAACGTTTTATTTTATCTAAAGAATTAAACTTTATTTTGCAAATAGGTAGGTACTTATTAAACTTTTATTGGTTATATATAACCAATAAAATAAACATCTTACATTTCTTGCAAATTCATTAGTACCTGTTAACCTCCATCACTCCGACACTGGCAACCTTATTTAGGGATTAGTAACCCTCACAACTATTGTATTCTATTCTGCTCCAACCTTTATACCTGGTGGTCATACTCAATTTAAAATTGTTTTCCTATATACTTCTGTAAACTTGTTGACAAATATCTGTTTTTCATTGAGTCACCCGTATGAACAGTTTAGGGATTTGCATGCATAATTTATTGTTTTATTACTCTCTCATACATAAAAATACACTATAGAATCTCTAGCACTACAGTGAATCAAGAAAAATAAATGAATGACAGACGACATCTTGAAATTAATGGAATAACGTCGACTGATAAAATCTAATGTAACAGCATATAGACACCTGCAGAGAAGAATAAAGAGATCAAATTAGCCAAAGAAAAATGGATGAGAGAAAGGTGCGACGAAATGGAGGATATAATATCCAAACACGACTTATTTAATGTGCACAAAAAACTGAGAGAAATGAGTAATACATATATTTAAAAAACGAGTTTCCTCTGTACTTGTTGACACTAATAACAAAATAATTGTAAATGAGTAAGAAATAAGAACAGAATGGCAGCTGCATATATCAGAATTGTTTGAAGGTAACAGGAATAATATTGTCGAATTCTACCAAAACTGTACTGACGGCCCAGAAATTATGACATGCGAAGTAGAACACGCTATAAATAATGCTAAAATTAGAAAACTTTCTGGTCCAGATGATACAACAACTGAGTTGCTGAAACTAATAGAGAATGATAACATAAAATGAGTAGTAAGACTTTTTAATTCAAATTGGCTCAAATCCATCTTTATCGTAACACCTAAAAAACACAATCCGAGAAAATGGTCAGAATATGGATTAATTAGCCTAATGAGGCACGCTCTTAAAATTTTCCTTAGAATACATCACAACAGAATTAGACGCAAATGCGAAGAAGATCTTAAAGATACCCAATTTGGTTTTAGAAATGCTATGGGAACCAGGGAGGCACTTTTTGCGCTTAACATCCTATTACAAAAATGCCGTGACCAAAGAAAAGATGTATTTGCATGTTTCGTGGACTTCGAAAAGGCATTCGATAAAGTACAGCATATAACATTAATGCAAATACTGAAAAATATCGGAATAAATGACAAGGATATTCGTGTCATTAAAATTTTGTACTGGAATCAAACTGCTATCGTAAAAATTGGAGATAACTACACCGATGAAATCCCCATACAACGAGGAGTCAGACAAGGTTGCATTTTATCGCGAACATGGTTCAATGTTTACTCGGACCAGTTATTTAAAAAGGCACTTGAGAGACAACCATATGGAATAAAAATCAACGGGGAACTACTGAATGTGATTAGATATGCAGACGATACAGTAATTCTATCCGATAATATTGAAGGTCTTCAAATTCGATCGTATTCACGAGGTAGGAGAGGAAATGGTCATTAAAATAAACTCATAAAAACCAAATTTTTAGTGTTTAGTCGTGACCCACATCCCGACGCAAAGCTTCAATTAAACGGAGTTCAAGTTGAGAAGGTTCACAAAATGACATATTTGGCAACTGTGATAATGGACCAACTAGATCCAGACATAGAAATAAAACGTAGAATAGCAATGACTAAAACTACTTTTATGAGAATGAAGTCATTTCTTTGCAATAACCACATCAGTTTAGAGCTAAGGCAAAGAATGTTTAAGTGCTATGTTTGGTATTTTTGTATAGTGCAGAAGTGTGGACGCTAAAAGTATCGATCATGAACAAAATTAAAACATTGGAAATGTGGGTTCATAGACGAATGCTGAAGATACCTTGGACAGCAAGAAAAACTAATGAAGAAATACTAAGGAGCGTCAACAAAGATAGAGAACTGCTAAAGACTGTTAAACATCGAAAAATGTTTTATCTGGGACATATAGTAAGGGAAAGTCGATATAAAATTTTACAACTGATCCTTAAAGGCAAAATAGAGGGCCGTATAGGTGTAGGAAGAAAACAAGTTTCTTGGTTAAAAAAACATTCGTGAATGAACTTAGATATCAAATGCAGGATAATTATTCCATATTGCAGAATATCGAGAAGCCTTCGCAATGGTGATCGCCAACGTCGGATAATTCTGATATCGCACGCGAAGAAGAAGAAGCACTACAGTTCCACATTCAAAGATAGCCTGAATATTTAGTCTGCCCCTTCCGTTGAAAATTTCGATTTCAGATTTGAATTCTGTGACTACAAAATATCCAAAATTAGTTAAAAAATTTCATGGGAAACAAAAATTTCTTTTCAAAATTTCACTAGGAAACAAACCTTTTTGTTCCCCAGTGAATAGCTATAATGAGGGTTAATATAATACTTAAATAATACTTTGTTAACTAGCGACATTAAAAAATGGAAAAATAATAACTATCACAATCTATGTCAAGTCAAAATGTATCGACCAATATAGTTTTTAAGAAACTCTATTCTTAGCTTTTTTCCAATGAATACATCTATGGCATCATTTTTAAATCTTGATGTCGCTATCATTCGTCTACTCAGAACTTTCAATATTAATTATTGCTCAGTCTCAAGTGTTAATAAATAAAACAGAATTTTTAAAATCAAGATTTTTTGCCGTTAAAATTGAAGTTTGCTGAACATACGAAAAACCAGACTACTCGTATTAATTGAGCAATATAAAACTGTTTATTTATCTTAGATAACAGTTAAATTGGTGATACCTGGTCTTACTTTATGGCGTCGAGTCTTGGACACTAAATAAAAGTGATCTAAATCGCCTTGAGGCTTTCGAAATGTGGTGCTATAGAAGAATTTTAAAAGTTTCTTGAATGAAGAAGATTAAAAAGTCCACAATACTAGAACGTATCAGCACGATTACTGAGATATAATACTAAGCAAGGGAAAATAGCAGGCAAACGCAGTCCAGGACAAAGAAAGACTTCAGGGTTGAAGAACTTACGAGAATGGTATTTTATTTAGGGTGGCAGTGAATAAAATTAAGATAGCTATGATGGTAACCAAAGTTATGATGGCACTGAAGAAGAATGTGGTAACTTTCGGTCCATGTATTGGACGCTAGACAATAATTGGACTGCATGTTGGCCAGACTTAATCCCGATTTAAGATGTCTAGATATGCTTATGAGAAGAATAAAGTTAAAAATTTCGGTTCTTTAACACTAATACAATTAAGATAGCTATGATGGTAACCAACGTTATGATGGTACATGAAGAAGAATGTGATACTTTTCGGTATATATTGGAGACAATTTTATCTTCACGCTAGACAATGCTAGCCTACACCTGGTTCGATTTACAACCTATTTTTTAAATCAAGTGGAAATACCGGAAAATAATTGAACTGCATGTTGGCCAGACTTAATCCCGATTGAAGGTATCTAGATATGCTAAGAAGAAGAATAAAGTTAAAAATTTTGGCTCTTTAACGCTATCTTCACGCTAGACAATGCTCGCCTACACCTGGTTCGCTTTATACTCTATTTTTTAAACCAAGTGGAAATACCGGACAATAATCGGACTGCATGTTGGCCAGACTTGAATCCCGATTGAAGATGTCTAGATATGCTAAGGAGAAGAATACAGTTAACAATTTCGACTCTTTAACACACCGAAGACCTGAAAACTTCTTCTTCTGCTTCAGCCTTCATTTATCATTCATTATATATTCAGCCTTTTTCATTGTTGAAAATAGGCCTCTTCCAATTGCTTACACGTTTCCCTATCTTTTGCAATTCTCATCCACTGCTTTCCATCTACAGCTGTTATATCGTCTATCCATCTCTTTTTGGGTCTTCCCCCGCTTCTTCTTGTTTCTCGAGGTACCCAGAATGTCACTTTATGAGACCATCTGTTGGTGTCTTATCTTGCTACATGTGCTACCCATTGCCCTCAATGTCGCTATTTTTCCCATGATGTCGGTTACATTAGTTCTTCGACGTATTTCGGAATTTTGTCTCTGAGGCTTATATTTAACATGGCCTCTTGAGTTCTGACCTGAAAACTGCTGTAATTAAAATATGGAAGAAGTATGAAAAGATGAGTAAGGGCTTGTGCGAGACACAGACGTTCTTTGAAAAACAAAATCTATTTTTAATATTTTCCTGTAAAACATGAGTTTCTTTGCTAGAGGAAAAAAAAGGTCTAAAATATACCTACGTTTCTTTAAATTTGTCGGTATGTTTAAACATATTTTATCACTTGAAATCTTTAATTCAACACAATTTTTGATTAAACAGGATTCCTATTTTAATAGTAAGTTTTCAAAATGAGATAAAAATTAACTTAAATACAATAAATCTTTTAAAACTTTCTAATCCGAACCACCATGATTCTGCTTTTTATGCTTAGCCATATAATGTTTTAGTTTAGTCTTATAATCACATTTATCACATTTCAAATACTTCAATCTCCTCTTATCCGTATGCACATTTAACACGTGGAGGCTCAGATTTATTTTCCTTTTCGTTTGAAACTTGCACTTTTTCTCTTCACACTTGTACATCTTCACTTCTTGGTCTTTGTGGTTTTGACTAATATGTTCGTTGAACGTTTTTAATACATTAGATACGAAGGGGCAATGTGGGCATTGGCGGTAGTTTTGGGGATTCTTGTGTTTCATCCGAATATGTTTCCTAAGTGTTGGACTTCTATTCGTTTCATATTTGCAGGAAGGGCATTTGTATATTAGAGGTTCCTTAGGAAATTTGTGTTTTTCCTAAAAAAAAAAAAAAACGATTACGTGTCAACACATATATGTGAACCTTTGAAGTTATACGAGCCATAACGTCGATAAGTATTTATAGTTGCGCATTTTTTTCCATCAAAACTTTTTATAAGAGGTGTATCCGATAACGGTAGCCAATACCGTTTATTTTAAATAGAACACCCTGTATATTAATTAATTTTTAGAGTCCTCAGCTCATTTTAGACATTTTTTGAATACAATGTCCTATACCTATCTGTGACTGTTTCGGAAATATTCAGTAAAATGCAAAAAATCACATTTACAAAAGAAAATTATTTATTTCCATGACGTTCATGACGTTTTATTGTTCCATGACAGAAGTAGTTTTCGAGGCTACGAGTATAGTCGTTTGAACTTCATTAATCGCAAGTCAAAAAATGAGTCATTTAACAGAAATGCACAAAATTACAATTATGCAGATGATTGGCTATGGAGATAAGACACGGACGCAAATGGAAGTAGCTTGTTTATTTCACGAAGCATTTTCTGATTTGCCGCATATATCTCAAGGGAAAATTAGTAAAATGGAGAAGCAATTCCACGAGCTGCTATGTTAGGAAGGTAAAAAAAAGAAGCTGCCAATGCAATAAGTGATGAAACCAAATTGGCTGTTGTGCTTGAGTTTGAGGAACACCCACATACATCTGTTCGAAAAGCAGCCCCAGTACTCGATATTAGCCATTCATCGGTTTTTCGAATATTACGAGAAAACAAAATACATCCCTATAAAATTATACACACTCAGGAGCTCATAGAAAATGATTTTGAGAGGAGAACGTATTTTTGTGAACAAATGATGGCAATGTTAGACAGCAATGTGATCCAATCAGAACATGTTTTGTTTTCTGATGAGTGCACCTTTACTCTTCACGGTCATGCTAATCGGCAAAATTGCCATTGGTCCCGGGAAAATCCTTACTGGATGGGAGCAGGCAATACTCTGATAAGATAATACCTGAGAAGGTTAACGTGTGGGCAGGAATTATTGAAGATCAGATCATAGGTCCCTTTTTCATAGATGGGAATTTGAATGGCGACAATTATTTACCATTGCGCCAAAATGGTCAACTTGTATCCTGATCCAGAAAAGACACAAGTTCCAGCGAATATAATATAGTTTCAACAAGATGTTGCACCACTCCACTACCAAATCCATGTCCGGCAGTACCTCAAACCTAATATTTCAAAATCGGTGGATAGGGAGGCGAGGATCGATGGAATGGCCACCACAATCTCTCGATTTGACGCCATTAGACTTTTTCTTATGAAGATATGTGAAAAGTATTGTATACAAAAGTATTGTATACAAACCCACTGATTTAGCTAACTTACGAAGACGAATGAGGCTTGCGATTAGATCGCTCACATTTGAGATGTTGGGTAACGTTAAAAGAAATTTCTATTCACGGTTAGGGTGTTGCCAAGACAATAAAATTGTTGATAATAGAAGAGAAAAAAGTGATTTCACCTATTTGGGGTTAGAAATAAACATTCTACAATTGATCACGTACACAGAATTACCAACACCATTGAAAAATCATTAGAAGAAAGTCTGTTCTACAATATTTTTGGACGTAGCTAAGGCCTTCGACGAAGTATGACATGAAAGTTTAATCTATAAACTCAAAATTCTTATACCTAAACAATAGTGCGAAATGTTGCAGTTTAACATATCTGAAATATATTTCATAACTAAGCAAGAATACGTGTACAAGGATCTAAAAGTAAAAGCAAAGCACAGTGCTGTGTTGTGTGTTAGCTATAATACATAGTTTTTACATAAAATATGAGGTCCCCACATATCTAAGATCTAAGTATTATATAGTAATTTAAGTCAAAGAAGAATTAATAATTGGTTAACTGCGACCAAATTGCGGTGACACAGATACAACTTAGTTGTTTAATAAAAAAATACACTGGATACACTAGGAAACCTGTGGTTTTTAATTAACATACAAGACGTTAAAAAATGTAATTGGTACATAAATAACTTACATGCACGTGTCTATTGATGTTCTTTTTCGATTTCGTTTCATAAGGACATGACAAACATTTGAACATGTCTACCTCCCAATCTTTCTTATGCGTCAGGACGTGATTTTCAAGGGTCGTTTTTAATATGCTTTCATATGAACAATGGGGACATTTAAACATCTTCTTTGGTTTGGGAGGTTCTTTATGTCTAAAACAACATTTTTTATAAAACAAAAATTTGCTCCTTATTTTGCATTGAGAGAGGAAGTAAACTCCAATCATGTATGCAAAACACCAGAATAAAACATTTTCAGTAAACACATATTGAGATCTGCTTTCGAACTTGCTTTATTTGATTTCTTCAACGTGTAAATGGTTCAAATTGAATATGAACGGGTCTATACATTTATTGTTATTGGCAGACCTATTCTAAAATTCAATAAGCTATGCAGGGGATGTAACTCCGCCTGTGGTGACTAATGGGTGGATTGAATAGCTCAGGAGTCACCATTGCCGGTCCTAAGCCCGGGTAAAGGAGGAAGGTTGGGCAGTGGGCTAACAACCCACTCCCGGAAAAACACACTGTTATGAAACCTAAACATTTGCCTCGGAACAAGGGGAACTTTCGGAAACGACTAAAGCTACGAAACATGGACTATACATTTGGAAGTTGGAATGTGAGGACGCTAAATAGAACAGGAGCTCAAAATGCACTTCTACAAGAACTAAAAAGATATACTCTTATGATCACTGCTCTTCAGGAGACAAGATGGCTGGGGAAAGGTGTCAGGGACACCAAAACGCACACAATTCTATATAGTGGCAAAGAACAAGGAATCAAAGAATGTGGAGTTGCATTTGTGGTAGATAATGATTTTAAGTCAAAAATCATAAACTTCCAGGCAGTGAATGAAAGGATATGCAAACTAAGAATTCGCACCCACTTCTTCAACCTTACTATGATAAACATCTACTGCCCAACAGATGAACAAGAGCAACATACAAAGGAAAGCTTCTACCAACAGCTGGAGATAGTATATGACAACGCGCCAAAAAATGACATTAAGGTTATAATGGGTGATATGAATGCCAAAATAGGCAAGGAACCGCAGTTCTATGGCACAACAGGAAAACACTCACTGCACAATGAAACAAGCGAGAATGGGGAGTTTTTGATAAATTTTGCCACCAGTAAAAACATGGTTATAAGCTCCACATGCTTCCCACATAAAGACATACACAAAATGACGTGAATCTCACCAGATGGAACCACAACCAATCAAATTGACCATGTGCTGATAGACAAAAGGGCAGCCAGTAGTATCTCTGATGTGAGAACACGAGGAGCATGCTGTGGATCAGACCATCTTTTACTGCAAACCAAATTTAGGTGCAGAGTTAACAGAGAAAGAAACGAAAGACAACAAAGAACAAACAAACTAGACCTGGAAAAACTGAAGACTCAGGAATGTAGAGAGAAGTTCGAGCAAGAAGTCACAAATGAGCTAAGGACACAAGAACTGCACTCCATAGAGAGCAAATGGAATAATATCAAAACAGCAGTGCTGACAGCAGCAGCGTCCACCGTGGGAAACAAGAAAAAGAAGAGAAGAGGAACATGGTTTGATGACGAGTGCAGGCAAGCGATAGAAGAAAGAAACGAAGCGCACAAAATGTACATAACAAGAAGAACACGGGAAAGACGAACATCATTTGAAGTCGCAAGACGGAAAGCAGACAAGATATGCAGAAACAAAAAGAGAGCTTATGAAAATGGACAAATAGAAGAAATTAACAAAATTTCAAAAAAAAACGAAATTAGAGGAGCTTACGAATACCTAAAAAAGATAAAAAGTGGATATAAACCTCAAACAAGCCTATGCAAAGATGAAAGTGGACAAATAATCAGTGACCAACAGAAAGTCACAGAAACCTGGAAGCATTATTTTCAGACCCTACTTGGAACACAAGCAGATGTGGAAGATGAAATGGGTACGAACCATGTAGAAGAGAACGAAGTTGAAGTAGAAGCTCCAACCATAGAGGAAGTTCTCGAAGCTATTAAGGCCCAGAAAAACAATAAAGCCCCGGGAGTTGACGAGATTCCAGCAGAACTGTATAAGGTAGGTGGCAACCACCTATCAAGTCATATCCACGCGCTTATCAAAGAAATATGGCAAGAAGAGAAAATACCCGACGAATGGAAGAAAAGTATAGTATGCCCAATCTATAAAAAAGGAGACAAACTCCAATGCAAAAACTACCGTGGAATTTCTCTACTATGTACAGCGTATAAAGTCCTCACGTATATTATAAACCAGCGACTCCAACCACTAGCAGAAAATATTATTGGAGAATATCAGACGGGCTTCAGACGGGGAAGATCGACAATGGATCAAATATTTACAGTCAAGCAGGTCTTGAGCAAATCGTGGGAACACGACATTGATGTTCACAACGTGTTTGTAGACTTCAAACAGGCATACGATTCAGTCAAAAGGGACAGACTATACTATATATTGGCAGAATTAGCAATACCACATAAGCTAATTAGACTCATTAAAGCCACAATGGATGAAACTCAGGCATGTGCACGGATACAAAACAACCGGACAGACTTTTTCAAAATCTCGCAGGGACTAAAGCAGGGAGATGGGCTGGCACCAACATTGTTTAACCTGGCACTGGAGTATGCGGTTAGGCAAATGCAAACTGGACGAGAAAACCTACTGACCAATAAAACGGTTCAACTGGCTGCCTACGCCGATGATATTAATATTATGAGTAGAACATCAACAGGAGCACAGGAAACATACGCAGAGTTAAAAACACAAACGAAAAGGCTAGGTCTGGAAATTAACACAGAAAAAACAAAAATAATGGTACAGACGAGAAGAAATATAATCCCACAAAACATTATACATGAAGATGACATTGAAACGGTTGGAAAGTTTACATACCTGGGAGTAGAAATATACGCCGATGGAGCAGAGGATGGAGAAATACGAAAAAGGATAACGCAGGCAAACAAAGCTTATTTTGCCCTCTCCCATATATTTCGGTCTAAAAGTGTCCACCGAAATACAAAGACGAGAATCTATAAAACTTTAATTCGGCCAATAGCATGTTATGGCAGCGAAGCATGGGTCCTGAAAGAAACATCCAAAAACAAACTCGACACATTCGAAAGAAAAGTACTGAGGAGAATACTAGGACCTGTGAGGGAAAACGGAATCTTCAGAATTCGATATAACAGCGAGCTCTATCAACTGTACAAAGATTGCAATGGGCCGGACATGTGATACGAATGGGAGAGGATAGGCTACCAAAACGAGCACTGAACGCCAGAATGCAGGGAAAGAGACCAGTTGGAAAGCCAAGAAAGCGCTGGGAAGACACAGTAAGCAGCGACGCACAAGCACTTTTAGGAGTCCGTGTATGGAGAAGAGCAGCCACAGGCAGACAAGGGTGGAGGCAAAAAATAAAGGAGGCCAAGGCTCATTTTGGGCTGTAGTGCCGTAGAAGAAGAAGATGCAGGGGATGTAAACATTAGCAGGTGTAGGCCCCTAACAGGACCGCATTTAGGATTATCTTTTGGTTTGGCCAGAAGTATTATCTGGTAAAATATGAAATATATATTTTAATTTTGCAAAGGAATACAAGGAATCTGATTGTTTTTAGTTTATGTCAGACAATATACGAAAAACAAAAACAAGAAATTATTTTTTTATCCTAAAAACGGCCAACACATTTTATATACAGGGTGTTTTAAAAAAATATAAGTTTTATTTATAATTTTTTTTACGATTCCAAAAAGTTTAAATATTGCAAAACTATTAGATTTTAGGAATAAAAATACAAAGTGATTCATAATTCGTTTAAGTTCGACGTAAATATACGACAGAAATCGAGAACTAAGCTACTTTTAAACATTCTTCTGATGAACTTAATAATATTTAACTTCATCAACGTTTATATCAGTTCTTCCATATTTCTGATGTAATTGATGAAATTTAATTAAAAAGAAGATCTGGCATCTGAAAATTTGAAGATGGCGTTTTTCCTGCGCTATCATTTTTAATATTTACCCAGATGCGTTCTATGGGGTTTAACTCAGTGATACGGAGGAAGTCAAATACCAGTTTATTCTGTTTTTTTTTTCATTTCATCAATTAGGAATTTATCATAAATTTTTTTGTTCTTTTACGATTGAAAGAAGATGTATTTAAGCATGTTTATGTTGATCAAATTTTATATTTTTGAACGGAGCCAATTATGTATATTGCTTTTTTTTATGCACTTGTTGGTATTTTTTCTATTTTACGAGAATGGAATGATGCATTGTCAAAAACAATGATAGATTTATCTTCTAATACTGGTAAAATATTGGAAATATTCACCAATTTTCAAAATATTGACCTGTCTTTGAGGACCATTAAGCTAGCGGGGACAAATGAGCGAAATCCAATTTAACCAAGGTAATATTTTTTCACCAATTTTTCACTAATTTATTACCACCCTAATAATTTTTCACCACCAAACCAACCTTAAGGGGAGCGATTCTGCTGGCTTAATGTTCAAGCTAGCAGAATTTAGAAAAAAAACTTTTTGTCGATGGCATATTTTTCTACCCATTTTTCACTAATTTATTACCATCCTAATAATTTTTTATCACTAAACCACCCTTAAGGGGAGCGATTTTGCACGGTTAAAACTATTAGTAAAACTAAAAAAAAAATATATTTATGATATTCCACAATGCTAGGTTTTTATGAATTTATTACCTCCTTAGTAATTTTTCACCTGTTAACTTCCCCTTATGAAAAGTCAATAATTCTATTAGATTAAAATTTAAGTGGAAAAATTATTTTTGTCAAATTTACTCTCTTCTACTTATAACTGAAATAAAATAGTGTTTTTTAAATGTTTACTAAACTTTACCCAACCTGATAATTTTGCACCTTTAAACCAATCTTATTTGGAAACGTTCCTGCTAGCTTAATATTTGAGCCAGCAAAATTAGAAAAAAATATATTTTTGAAATGCCACAGTATTCTGCTAGGTTTTAACATATATATTACCACTCTAGTAATTATTCACCCTTCAACTGCCTCTCATGGAAAGCCAATAATTCTGTTGGGTTATAATTTAAGGTGAAAAATATTCTTTTACAATTTCACTCTCCTCTACTTATAACTGAAATAAAAA